CTAAACAAGATTTGTCAAAGTCAATAAATTCAGAGTACGAAATACTCATAGTAAACTCAACTCCAGCAATGCGATTAGACTCACAAAAAATCAACGTTTAAAGTCCCTATAAACCCTTCGGGGGTTGTTGGATATTTTGATTGTCTTTATATAGTAGGTTAACAATCCAAAATATTTTTTCGATTGGATAAATATTCTTTGAGATATAGCGCTTCAAAGTCGGCCTTTCGGACACGCCCAAACGATTTGGCCGGGCGCGCGAGAGGTCTGGTACCTCAGAAGGCTCTGACGTCACAGCAAGAACACACTATCGAAGTTTTCAAGAAGTAACACAGCGTTCAAGATTTTAATGATCTTCAGACGTCGAAAATCAAGCGTGTTTATACGGCGAAGAGCCTTGAGCGGAAAAAGAATGGCTACAGGAATATAATTGAGAAATATAGCAGAAAAAAAAACTAATAGAGCCTTCATATTAAGTTAAAATGTCCTAGACGTATGTACGACAGCCCGGCACAATCTTATAAAGGTCTATAAACTAAAATGCCTGGCAGCCAAAATTTTTCAAAACTTTCGAGGAAATTACTGCTGATTCTTGAATCAAGTTCTGCTTTGTATAGAAATATCAAGTGCTTATGGGCTATACGAATTTGAACACTGCTACGTGCTGTCTTCTTTCGGCATACTATAGCACTTTCGGCCATTCACTGCTTGTTCACTGCACGACGTGACCGAGTGTTGGTCAGTCTAAACTTATCTAACAAATTCGAAGGACTCGCTATCGATAGACAAATCAAAGTACTGTTATTTACATAAAAACATTAAGTATTTCTTGTGACCAAAGCGAACGCTTCATGCCGTCTTTCTTCGGCACTCGCGCTCTTGATTTGACTATTAAATGCCGAGTAGTCATCAATTTTTCTAACTTTAGTCGAGGGAATAGCTAGCAATAGCCAGTTGAAAACTAGTCTTAGTTTGCATATAAATAATATTAAGCGACTCTTGTGACATAAGTGAATTGAATACACACGTACAGAAGAATCTTTTTTTTTAATTATCACGGATGCTGCCCGTCACGGTTTTGAACTACATAAGCGAGTAGTCCCAAATTTTGCAAAAAATTACAGGATATCGCTATCAACAGGTAAATCAACAGACCCTATGTCATCTTTTATCAACTGAGTACGTCAGTTTCACAAAATCAAAGCGTTGTTGACAATAATTTTCAGGCGAAAAGTAGCTAAACGTAGTCTGAAAGTACGACGGAGTAGGACGCGGAAAAAGTGAAGTTCGACTGTTTCTTCTTTATAAAGTCGATCCACTGCTTTTTTCTGGCTTTGCTTCAGGACGATTGTCACCAAAGAACAGTATTTTATGCAGGAATATTCCTTTTGATGAATCAGGTGAATTTGAGCATCCAGCAACCACACAACGGGTAGGCATTTTAGTAACATTTTACAGCTGAGTTGCTATGTTTATCAACATTCGTTCTTGCTGTGACGTCACAAGTCTTCTCGGTCCCAGTCTTTTTATCCCGGCCAAGTCGGTTGGGCGTGTCCGAAAAGCCAACTTTGAAGCGCTATATCTCAAAGAATATTTATCCAATCGAAAAAATATTTTGGATTGTTAACCTACTATATAAAGACAATCAAAATATCCAATAACTCCCGAAGGGTTTATAGGGACTTTAAACCTAGCAATAAGTCAAAAATTAATATAAAACTACTTAACAAGGCAATCGCTATTTGCATTTTCCATGCAGAGCAGTACGCAAAGCAGGAAGGTAACTACATTTTGTTTCACTCGTTTTATGATCACTTATCGTCGATATAAATTTCATTGTTAATAAAAAACGCTTATTTAGTTGTGCAAAGAATAAATGCCTTACGAGGACGAGTGCGTTATTTCCATACTCGTCTTTGTCAGTCACGGAGACATGTAGTTCCCGTCACATCTTCGCTCTTACCTTATAATTTGCAGCTAGATGATCGAGCTAGAATCCCTTTAAATAATCTTAACTTGCCAGGATAGATTGTGCTGGAGTAATGGCACTAAATCTTGTCATGAATGTTATTTCTATGCATGCTTGAGGAAGCAAATATATGCTAATCGATGGAGCACTTCATGCAGAAAACATTCACTCTTTCACTCAATTTAAATATGTATATTTGGAAGACAATTCATAAAATCAAGATACACTGTGCCTACACGAGTATTTTATAGAACATAGKTTGTAGAGGRAAATGGTTAGGGCCGGTTCACACTATGACATAAGCAGAAACCGAACCAGAAGCTTGTTCACACTGAGTCTTCACACTTGGCAGAAGCATATTCTTCTGCTTATGATGTCCCGGTTCACACTTCTTCTTTCAACATAAGCAGAGCAGAAGCAGAAGAAAATGACAAAGTTTTCATTTTTATCTGTTTCTGTCTCTGCTTCTGTTKTCCCGGTTCACACATACAAAATACACTTCTTCTGCTTMTGCTTCACAGTGTGAACCGACCATTAGGAAGCCTTCTGTTTTAGGTTTTTGTGCACTTTTTCCCAGCGCGACAGTGCACAATCTTCTGTTCTACTTTTGATTTAGTTATAAGCTTACTGGTSACATCTGAATGAACAGATCGAAAATTAGTCTTTTGACTATTTCTTAAAAATGCGCGAATATATTTTAAAAAATATTGAGATGATATTTCATTTTATAATCTCATAGAGAGTGTTTATGTTCATTGTAATTTCCATCGTCCGTAACAAACAAGTTGTGCACGGTCTTGACTGATTCAACSACAAAACACATACAAAAGATGCACAAAAGAAATACAACAAAAGGTTTCCAAACCATTCCCTTCTATTTATTATGTACTTTCTCTTCTTCAGGTGTTAACCAGATTCGCACAAAACCTGACACAATCATAAACGCAATCGCCATGAAGATAAGARACACTCCAAAGGTGGTTAGCAACCCTGGCTGGTGGGTACCGGTAGTTTTGTAGTATTTCTGGTCAGATAAAACATCGTAAAAGACATGAAAGCTATCAAAATTTCCCAAGGACATGAAAACGTGGAAAATTTGATGGCTAGCGCCAAAGTAATCGAAACGGCCCGGCGACAGCCTCTCTGGAAGCATGGACATATTGATAAACGCGGCTAAATTGTACCACAAAAAGCTGCGCTTTAAATATCTTATAGAACTATAACTGCAATAAGAACTGGACATATAACAGCGATAAACAAAAGGAGAAATGTCGAAATAATACTTAACACCAAAAGACATAATTCGGAAAATAAACCCATATTTTCTAAAGCGGTGCCTTGATAAGCAAGATGTGAATAAATTATTAATAGAAAGCAACATTGCCATACCGAGGAACACCAACTCATTCCTAAACAAAAAAAGCTTCCCAGAATCTGGTGGAACTGGAAAATAGTAATAAATACACATGGCGCCTGTAAAGGTATAAGCACTTATTGTAGCGTAGTCTAAATAGAAACATATGTTTTGGCATTTCCAGGAAATACAGCCAAAGAGATGCGCAAAAGCGCTTGATAAAAATGCTAAGATCGTGATCATACAAAGGCAAAGTATAGGATAGGATTCTGGTTGGCCGATGTACTGCTGTCCAGTCAGGCTGTATGTTGAGTACAGTGAAAACATGATGGCTGCTAGAATATGGCTCCATATGTTGAAAGTCTCGTTGTGAGTCCTGAATAACGAAGTAATGCATTCTGGGATTGTGGCACTTGTCCTGTACCCTGTAAGAATAAACGGTTCTCGTGCAAACATTGGGACATCCTGAYAGTTGACCACTGATATCTGAAAATGAGAGTATGCAGTTTTACAAGAWATAAAGGAARGCAGGATATTTTTTCCCAGAAGTCAAGAATTTCTATATTTACGTCGTAGGTCTGGAATRCGATCACATGAAGGATGAACTGCTACAATCACAGATAATAGGAAATCATTCCTATCATAGTGCCATGCGGTCCTCATATTCATATCTTTACATTGTTCTATTACCGCAACCYAACATCTATTTCACCCCAACCTGCTCCCATTCTGTCCTTGTAGCTCAGCTGGTAGAGCATCGGTGTACAAATACGAAGGTCKTGGGTTCGAATCCCAGGGAGGTGGGAAATTAATTTTTCCGAATTTATTCCTGAGGGTCTTTCTCACGGAATAACCTCTTTCTGGGCACCATAACTTTCGTTCATCTCTATATCGTTTCCATCATAGTACCAGTCGGTCCTCATACTCATATAATAGGAAATCATAAATATTCAAAAGTCCAAACCTTGTTGTTCTTGTTGAAGTTTCCTTTCTTCTTAGTACTGTTTTCTAAACGGTCTTTGCGATAGACTTTTCTAAGTCTCATGACTACACCTTTCACTACAGAAATACTGATGTAAGTGTTTGCTGGATGAGTCAGTTTATAATCTAAATTGGAATAAAAGTTTGAATTGTGGCTAATTGAGATATCAATCTGTTAAATAACTGATGCAATTAACGTTTAATTGTGTAATCAGCGGTTCACCATAGCAACACATGAGGCTACGATATGCGTTCTTCAATGTAGCTCATTATAGGCGACATACTATATAATCATGTATAATTAGCTGCTTTTCATATTGCAATACTGCTAAATTTTGCTAATTCTATTGTTTTCTACTGCTTAATTAACACTATTTTGTAGTAATAGTGGAAAGTGTTGCACACATTTAATGTTTGTACTCTATCGTGTCCAGGCTACGCTAATATATACTTTTACCAGCGYYGCGATCGAATTTGATAGATTATGCGTGTGATCTTTTCACATAATTTTTTGAATATTTTTATCATTGCAGCGAAAATTTAGCATTCAGATTATCCTCAGAGGATTTATAAGATTAAAGTTTACATTGCATAAAAAGATTTTAGAAAAAAGAACGAGCATATTTTAAAGTTAAAGAAAGAAAAAAAGAAAGAAAAAAAAAACAAGTATCAATAAGAAAAAAAATGTTTAGAAGCTGCTCGAGTCGAGAATCGAACCCGAGACCGTCAGTTCAACGCCGCTATTCAAGTATTATCTTGAGTGTAAAATATGTAAAACAAATATCTACAGGAAAAATAAGAATAAGTGTATGTCAGTAAATAAAAAGAAGAAAAAAAAGAAGAAAAGAAAAAAAGAATCGCTTAGAAGTGATCAAGTCGAGAATCTAACCCGCGATATTAAGTTCGACGCTATTCGAGTACGATAGTTTGTGTAAAAATCAAAATAATGGCTCGAAAATAATTGTTAAACAAAATCTACAGAAAATCAAGATGACTATAACAACTATATTATATTTAAAAAGAAAAAAGAGAAAAAAGTGCTCGAGACGAGATTTGAAACCACGATCCTCTATTCGACGCCGCCGCTGTTCGTGTATCATCATGTTTCTAAAATTTAACAAACGCAGCTCGTAAATATTAATAAAACGAAGTGCTACGATAAAAATCTAACATGACTTGAACACTTATGTTTCAGTTAAAAAAAGAAAGAAAGAAAGAAAAAAAAATTTTTTCAGAAGTACTCCAGTCGAGGATCGAACCTTGGAACTCTGGATTATGGGTCCCTTGGGTTTGCTAAACTGCGACGTGGAAAAAAAAGATGATAATACAGTCGCTGCATTTTATAACCGTGCCGCAGGTCTTCGGCCGGGACACGGTAAAAAAAGATTGCATTGACAACAGACTGACCAATCAAATTCAAGTAGAAGTTTTCTCATTCTGTTTATGGAAACTTGAGAGGAAAGCTTTAAATGTTGCCACGGTTTCAGTAGTGATACTATTGTCATTTTRGTTTTCCACAATAGGACTTTCACTCGTCTATGAGGTAGTGTTCGCACACGGCCTCTTCAATTGGGGCTAGCAGTGCATTTGGTTACGCTATATGCYACATTGTACTCGATTGAGTCCACTGCCCCAAATAGAAATTGGTTCTTTGACATCATAACCTTGGGGTTTTAACAACAGCATATGATATGACATTTAGTGGGAATGTCAAAAATTACAACACAAGAGATTAATGTAAAATGTATTTTATTAAAAAAAACAATTTTGAATCAAATGCTTTGCTTGGGTTGCCTGTGGGAAGGACGGAAGGAAACGTGCGTACGCGCGGGAGCCCTGTGTCGGTCCATGAATAATCGACTCGATAGTATACCATCTTTTCTTAGCTATAGTGCTCCGCTCGCGCGGGTCTTCTGCCCACGSGGGAGCTCTGCTATTACAATTAATTTTCTAGTTTAGCTAAAAATTGTTGCACAAAATGGCGTTGCTGTACATTGCCTAAGCTTTGCTTCGACTTTGATGTCACAGCTTACTTATACTGGGAACAAAATACTCAAATCCARAAACTGAAAGTTGAGCTTTGATTTTTTTGTTTCAAACATAGTGTGCGTCAATGATTTTTTGACACTACTTTTAACATTAAATGTTTTGTTGACATTCGTCTCCTCTCTGTTGAYTAGCTCGCAGCCTTTCCGTCTCCCTTTGAACAATAACTCATAGCGCTCGCCCAGTAAAATGATTTGATATGACGTCATTGCGAAAAAAGGTAATTAGACAATTCAGTAATAAAGGACAAGACACAAGAGATGCGAAGAAAAATTATAGATAAGAAATATTTAAAAAAAGAGAACAAGAATTTGAAAATATATGCAAAATTCTGTTTTGAAATGTAAATAGTTTTGCATTCAGTCCAATTACATGTCATTAAGTTGATTTAGTTAATGCCAACGCTCTGTCTCATCATGTAAATCAAARMAGAGTTTAACAATTCTTCACRTTACACAACCTGGCGTGATGTCATTTGACAATTAACAAAGAAAGATAWAGGTCACTCGGGTCGATTTTGTTCAGTAATTCAATATCAAGAAAAAACTTTGGTGATACAAGGACGTGGTCGTTGGCGTTGATTGTGCAAGGTACTGCGTATCTAAAGACTTCTCCGATCTACAGACTACAATGGACRCTCTTAAATGGCTGGTACTTGTTCTTTTCACTCTGCTGTGCCATTCTTCAGTAAGAGTTGACWCGCAGCARTGTGTGCCTATTGCAGACAATCCTTACGTAAATGACTGTCTGTCAGCTGGTTATAACTATACCTTTCCCATCCCTGACAATCTCTCACGAAGAACAAAGTGGCTCATYAAGTTCGTTGCAAGCAGACTCACAAAAGACATGAAGAATTGCTCCGTTGCACAGATTGCTGAGACCATYGGTTGCGCTCTCATCGCTCCCAAGTGCCAGGAAGGAAGACTTAAGCCTTTACTTCCTTGTAGACGAGTCTGTTCCGAGTTCCTKAAGCGCTGTATTGATAAAGTGCCATCCTGGTATATCGATGATTTAACTGGTAAATGCACTTTGCTTCCTAATGATACAGCAAAATCAGGGAATTGCTATGAACCACCACAGTTTACCGACGAYCACCACAATACTAGYGTTAAAGGTAAGAYGCAATTATTTTATTTACAGCAAATTTTGTGCGGTAATCCTATACTCGTGTCTCTTCACCACAGCCGTACACTCAATATGATTAACATATCAACGAAATATGCTACAAACAAGCAAATAAACAGCAAAACTAATTCGCTCACTTTAATTACAAGAAGAAATATTCACTTTTTTTTAGAACATATAGAGAATATTGTTGTGCAAAAAATAAAGTTTAACACTGTAAATAAGTATGTAAAACAACTTACTAACGTTTCCGACGTTAATCCTTTCATTRTATTGTGTATTTCAAATGATTGTAAAATATGTATTTTAGCACAMTTTTGTAAATTCTCGCGCGCTGATTGGCTGAATAGAGTGTGTCAAATGAGRAGATRCACACAGTKCTGACAYCATCACGTCTCGCGCGCGCTCAGTTGAAAGAAATAAGAAAAACAAATTACAAAAGAGTTACAAAGGTCGAAAGACAAAAGGTTACAAAGGCAAGACATAGAGAAAAATCCAGGACCTGTTCATTAGCTATGGGGGTTGACATATAGTCAAGGAACCATGGAAATACTGGCCAATAATGTGTTGCAATGAGCCTTTGTGCTTTACTTCATAACAGAATCAGGGTTATGAATATTGATATCACAACGATACACTTCATTCATTTTGATGGTTGGTTGCATTGGAGTTGCTATTATTTACAGTCCTGATGCAGTCGGTCATTTTAAAATATTTGACCCATATGCTACAGATACTTGTGGTAACAAACTTCCCTCCCTAAGGGAATAGTGTACTATTGCATTTATTATCTATTGATAACCTAATACAATATTTTCAAAGTTTATATAATTTAATAGAGACATATGAGTAAGGGGCATCAAAATTACTGAACCTGTCTCTGAAATATCATCTACACCATCAGAAGTACAAAATTGTTTCCAAAAATATTTTACAATATTCATTAACTCTATATGCTAGTTAATCATTTCACCTTGCAGCTGGAAGTTTTTGAGATGGTGTAGTACACATGACGTCCAGGCATAATTAGCAATGTTACAGGAAGCCCGTGTTAGCGCTCTATAGAGCGTCTACTTTAAAGTATTTTGTAGTTGCTTGGTATAATTATATCGTTTATCAAACGATTAGACCGAAGTGATCACCGTCAAATGACACATGTTCATAACGACTAATAAAAATAGCAATTGATCTTACTGCAGTACGATTTATGRATTTATCACCTCACTTTTATCCAATCAGAATACAATAGTTTTAATTATTTTAATTACGTGGGCTTCCACGTCTAAAAATGAAACTGGCTTTTGGTGGTGGTGGTGAATATTACGCTTCAAATTGGTAGCGCCTGCGTTGCAGATGGTCTGCAGTCTTAGAATGAAAAGAAAATGGCGGACAGACGGCGACAAAAAGTTGTCTCGTTTTAAATAGTTCTAAAATGTTGCTAAAATGCTCTAAAGATCTGAAAATCTTACAAAATCAACTGATTACCATCCATCACTTTTACTCCGAAACGTCAGTAAGTTATTTCACATACTTTTTTACGGTGTTAAATTTATCTTTTTACATAACTGATTACCATCCAAACGACATGGAATGAGGTATATAATTCAAGGTTACCGGATGATTCGTGCAGAAATGACTGGACATTTTCTATCGCCGACAGTCGAAGAGCACTACTCGCCACACAACAAGTGTTCGATGTCAAACACAAAATCTTCAAAAATAAGAAATAACATGGATATCTAAGGTTCATACTTTGACAGAACGGAATAATCATTCGATGGACTAAAACATATCAAACCTCATCTGAAAAATAATGATGTCATTTTCTAAACGATGTGTTTGAACTTATGCACGTGTGAATTACTGAACTCAAAAATCTATATTGTGTATGAAGATTTGTTTTAGTGATTGTTTAACTTGAAAAACATACACAAATCCAAAAATATGAACTGTTTGATGATGGCACAGAACGCCAGATGTAAAATTATACACCAAATAAAAAGAACAGAAACACACGATCTTACATGATTCAAACGATCAAATTATTATGCAAAGTTATACAGTACCGGACGCGAGTAAAGTACCATACACTCGCGAGTGCGAGCCACGAGTGACTATTCTCGCTCGCGAGTGATGCAAATAGGAATATTCATAAATGCAATCAGTCACTCGCAAGAACGAGTACTCGTAGACTCGCGAATCTAACGAGTGATGTATTACTGTAAACGAACACTTACACTTGGTTAAAAAGTCCGTACCAAGCGCTTATCTGTGTATCAACAATTGGCGACTATCTGTCGCGTAATATTGGTACAAACAAGATATCCGCAATTTACTTTTCTGATGCTGTATGAAACAGTTTGTTGAATCTTGAATCGCGAACTTTTTTGCTGTCACCTCGTTCGGCAACGTTCACGAACTGTTTACACTTTGCTTTACCGACTGCTCACAAATAAAAGTGTAAAAATACAAGAGTTTTTCAAGCCAAGAGTATAATGCTTAATTGCTGCACCAAATGACATCGCTTCGCATTTGCTTATTGAACAATTTAGATTTAAAGCTGTAGCAAAGTCAAGATAAAGATTATAAACYACCTTTCAATCGCCAAAACATTTATTTATCGTTTATTTATTGAATATATTGAGATATATACATTATAAACATGCCAAATAAATCTGTTTGCCCGACTACTGTAGATTGATACAGCAGACAACTTGGGTACGCTATACGTGTACGCGAAGCTCACTATAATGACCATCATGTTCGCTGCGGAGACCACTCTTAGCGGTTATTTATTGCCAAATGAAACATGTTTAAGACAATGTCAATCTATTYCGATCTGCAGATAACTAAATTTTGAGAATAATGATCATGACTGGTGAAATTTGATGTAGTTGCTGTCTTCGAAAAGAATGTTTGTAGGCCGTTGCTAGGTGGCAAACAAAGAGATTCCAGTCAATCTCGAGTGCTCGAAAAACCTTAGGTTATGGACCATAACTTTTATTGATTTGTTGGCTTCTAAAGAAGCCGTTTTTTCAGGTATGGATTAACTTAATAACCCGAGGCTCAACCTTCTCTCTGTATGACGACAACTGGTATCACTTTTTGAAGGTGGTTGATGTACCGGTTGCATTTCTCTCGAGTCATGCGAGTACGCCAGAAAGTGATGATGCCATTCTGAAGTTCTTCTTTGTTGTGGGGCTTGTGTATCTTTCGGAGATAATGTTTAAGTTAGTGCCACACCAATTCGATGGGGTTAAGGTCAGGACTTTCGGGGGGAGTTTGCCACCAGTTTATGCCTGCGTTGTCGTAATATTCTTTAGCCAGTCTACTTGTGTGTTTGGGGTCGTTGCATGAACCGATGGCCTTCTGGGTACGTGGAGTCAATGACAAAACTGCAAAGACTGTAATGTTTCTATTGTTTATATGAACTTTCAGATATTTTGCATATTTTGAATAATAAAGACGCTCTAAGAGCGTAAAGTCGAGCTAGTTATTTTGGAAAACTGAGAAAGACATGATATCTAAAGAAGTTACTTGAGTTCAGTTCGGTAAAAAATTATGATGTCATAAATAACATATAACTTAATTCTGTCTTGACTTATTAGAAACAAAGACTGTATCGTGAAAATGAAATACCATTGTCGCAGCTACAGGAAGCCCACGTAAGCGATCCATGATCATCTAGTTGTATTAATTCTTATTTTAATTTAAATGAAAAGAGTATAGTTGTTACCTCTCCTCTGTCCTTTTGTGACAACTTCATTGTTCATTGAGTATGCAACCTAAATCTGTAGTCCTCCTGAAGGTTTTAGTTTTAAAACAACATCACGTTTCTGTTAAAGAACGGTTACTCACGACAACATAGTTTGTTCTTCACACCTTGATGAATGTAAGATAATCGAAGCGATACGATGATCGGGTTCAACAGGGACTGTAGATGGATGAACGTCACGGTAAATCCAGGAGTTGAGATAAGGCTGGACATGTCTACAACATTTGTGGCAAGTAGGATGGTGTTGATGATGAATGGGCAGTAGAGAAGAATTGATGCAATTACCAGTAAACTCATGGTAAATGCTCGCTTGTATTCCTGAAGTCGCCTTTCCTGCTCTTCTTGTTCTTCTTGTTGTAGCTGTACTGTTGCTGCTTGTGCATTGATGGCTCTTCTTTGACGGTAGGCCGTGACTTGTACATTGATTGAGCAATATAAAATGATGAGAACATTCAGAYCGGCAGCCACTGCGATTGGTACTTTTTGCAGTTGGCCGAAGTCGTTCAAAATGATTCTTGCTGACAGGATTGCTGGCAGAACGATCAAACAGATTAAGGCCGTAGTGAGAATGATTTTCTTGGTTGTGACATTTTCCAGGTAGAACTGATTGTGTTCTATGGCCAAGTACCTCTCAATACTGGACACCATGAATATTATTACTGTAGAACCAGCGCACATGACCGATATTATGGAATAAGCGGTGAAAACACATGGTGTTGCACATCTGATTCGACATACAAGGCCAAAAGCAAACATCGGCTCTACCATAAGACCTACAATCAAATCAGTCACTGCCAGAGCAGCAAGCAAGATGTTGTAGTTGACTTTTCTCAGATTCGTGTCTTTTACCACCATCCAAATGATTAACAGGTTAATCACGATGGTCAGTGGAGAAGCAATGCTGTTGAAGTAGCCGATGCTGGCATAATACTCTAGTGATTTGTCAAAGTAACTGGTTCTTGTATAACTCGACATACTCTTTGCATAACGGACGACAAGATGTCTTGTTCAGTACATGACAAGAATCGTTTGATTCAGGGTAAAAATAGCATCGGAAGAAGCATTGTGAACAACTCTGTAAAAACTGTAAAGAATGATTTTCATTGGATGAAATAACAGTCAGTGAACCACTAATGCAGTTGGACTAACAAAAGTAACATGGCAACAACCCTGTGAAAAACTCATTTTTTTCCTTAACTAATATTTATTTTCTG